ACCAGCTGCTCCTCAGAAACCCTATACAGGATCTCTGTGAGTTGGAACCAATCTCCAATTATTGTTGTTGTTCTGAGGTGCCATTGAGTTGGTATCAACTCATAGTGACCTATGCACAGCAGAATAAAATACTGCCCAAACCTGGGTCAACCTCACTATTGTTGCCACGTTTGAGCCCATTGATGGTGCCACATTGCCAATCCATTTCGCTGGGGGTCTTCCTCTTTATTGTAGAATTGTTTAATTCTGCCTTTGGTTTTGTTAAAGTTTTCTTTATGGATATTGGGACTCGTTTATTGGACACGTAGATATTTATTAAGTGCCTGTTGGATTGACCTTTAATATACTCTCCTTCCTTGCCTCTTCAATTAGTTTTTGTCTTAAAGTCTATCAGAAATTAATATTGCCATTGTTGCTCTTTTTTTGGTTGCTTTTTGCTTAACATATTTCTCTATTCTTTGTTTTTCATCTGATTTTTCTTTCTATATGTTTCTTTTTGACAACTTATTGATGAGTCACTTTTAGAAAGGTACTCTGCAACTCTCTGTCTTGACTAGTGTATTCAATACATTTACATTCAGTGTCATAATCAATGGGTATGAATTTACTACTGTCATTTTTTTTACTTTTGGTGTGGTGTTTTTTACTTTTGGTGTGGTGTTTCTTCTGTTCCACATATTTTACTATACTGAGCTTATTTTGTTTACACATTTACTTGTCATTTCCTTCATTACTGTCAATTATGTGTCTGTTGCATCTGTTTGTTTTTCTTCTTTTTTTTTTTGGTGAGAAGTTTTATTCATTTTCTTTGTGCTAGCCTTGTCATCTTTAAACATCTTTATAAGGTTGAAACAGGAGAAAGGTAAGGCTTTCTGCTAGTGTAAAGATTTACGGTCTTGTTAACTCCAAGGAGCAGTTGGGTTGAAACAGTCTGCTTTATCTTGAATATCTGTATCCCAGCTGTGTAACTGCAGCATTGATTTCCTATTTCTGCTTTGTCGTTTTTTGTCTTTTACGGCATTTACCTTTCTAGTTCCTTACTTTCAGTCTTGTAGGTTTATTTTACTTAAAGATTTTTTTTTTTTAACCTGTACTTAAGGAGGAATCTAAACTTTTGCTGGCAGGTCTGGAGAAGGGGCAGCAGACGCTTTGCTAGGCCCCTGACACAACCCAAAAAATCGAACAAGGAAATGAATGAGGCAGATAAGACTTTGTAGCAGAAACAAAAAGAACAGAAGAAACTTGAGGAGCTAAAAGCAAAGGCCTCGGGGGATGGCCTTCTGGCCATTGGTAGAATGAAGAAATCTTGCAACACAATAAGCTATTCTTT